CTGGTGGAACCAACCTTCGAATCTCTTCACCCAACACTTTCACTCGAAATGGAAGTAAGCTCAACAATTAGGAGCTTTTCTACGTCATATGACGGACATCATTCCTACAACCATATTCGAGCTGACTGTTTAAAAATACTCATTGGCTATATCTTAAAGCTTTATATATGCCCTAAATCCAGGCACAAGCTTTTAGCTTAGCACATGACTTGAAATATCTAAATTACTCTATGACTTCACCCAATTTTGTTTAAGGTGATGAAGGACTGGTAGAAGAATTTTCCACAATGACGTTTCCAATAAATTTCACATTGCCTTGATTTCCCAAAAGTAGTTCTCATCCAGGGTGGATTGCAATTTCGACCTTACATCGGTCTTATCAACACCCCCAGCGGGAGTCAAACCGTGACAGTTCAGAATGGGAGCTTGACACACAAACCACTCGGCCACATTGCCACGAGTGACCTTTGGGTCACATGTCAAATGTGAATTTCAAGGAAGGCCAGACCTTTTGTCATATCATATTTTTTGGTGGGATTGTCGATGAAGCAAACGTATATTAGCTATAACAATTGACTACATTATTTATTATTCGCATTTAAGTATTGTTTCGAGACTACCAATAAATCAGAAACAATACTTGAATGCGAATAATAAGTAAAGTACTCGATTTTTATAGCAAATATACGTTTGCTTCATCGACAATCTCACCAAAAGTCTTGGCCTTCCTTGAAATACACATTTGCCCCGTGACCCAAAGGCACTTGTGGCAACGCGGCCTAGTGGTTAGCGTGTCAAGCTCCCATTCTGAACTGTCACGGTTCGACTCCCGCTGGGGGTGTTGAGAAGACCGACGCGAGGTCGAAACTGCAATCTACCCTGTATCATAACTACTTTTGGGAGAGAAAGACTATGTGAAATTCAATAGAAACGTCAGGTCTACTCATATCCTTGTGGGAAAATTCTTCTACCAATCCTTCATCACCTTGAACGAAATTGGGTGAATACATCTTATATTACTGATTTACTAGTAGTCTCGAAACAATACTTAACTGCGAATACTATATGCCTTATAAAAAGCATATATATACATGCATATATATACATGCATATATATGCGCATTTAGGGATAATCTGTTTCTGACTCGTTAGATTAAGTATGCTGAATGATGTCCGTCATATGATGGACGAAAGCTTAGCATGTTTTCACTGGAATCGAAAGCCAATGCCTCGGGAACACTGTCAGCGAGAATATTTTGGTAATACCAACCGACAGCTGGCCAAGAGAAAGCCTCCGTCGTCTTTTGGTGGAACTGAACCTCGAATCTCTTCATCAAAAAATTATTCCTCAAAATGGATGTAGTTTCATAGTGAAAGTATGCATCCAGACTTTATGAAATCATTTCTGCTTCCCATGGGGCCTTCTAGTCTATTCTGATCAGGTTGTTAAATGGTTGAGCGTCCATGTTTTCGCTTTTCTGGTGGGAAGGCTTGTTAGCCAACTCGACACTTATCTCGGACTCCAATCCCATTACGCAGGATGAGAGGTTTCATAGGTCTGAACGATGTTGCCAATGCAAAATATGCGATTCGCTAGCTTCAACCACAATGTTTTTCAGCAGGATGGCCTTCTTTTGTTCACTTTTTATTTGTTATACCTCCATCAGACCTTTTAAAGCCTGGTTTATACGAATTTCTACATACAAACACATGTTTCTTACGTCCCTACGAAACTTAATTTTATCAATCTCTGTACTGTGGATAGCATTCAAAAGCGGATTATCTCA